AGAGAGAGAGAGAGAGAGAGAGAGAGTACAACGTAGAAGTAGATCTATTGATCTAAATCTATATGTCTTATTAATTCGCTCTCTCTTTTCTAAGGGCTCACACTCTCCTAGCCTTGACAACGGGGTGAAGGTTTACGACACTTTCCCCAGTGACACAGTCACCTATGCACTCATTGGACCTTCGTTAGGTGCTTTCAATTTTCCTTGACTACACAGCTGCAACCAGCTCATCATCATAGACGGAATGATATTATGCTTGAGGTGCAGTGTGTGCTGCTGGCTGAGATTTAAGTGTTATAAATCACGTCGAACCACTTTTAAGGCAATTTTTTCATCAGATGAAAATAAGTTAGAAAAAATATGGAGGTGAAACGGTTTCGTTCCCGCGCGCACACGTGTGTGTGTGTGTGTGTGCGTGTGTGTGTGCGTGCGTGCGTGCGTGCGTGCGCACGCGCGTGCCTGCATGCATGCGTACATGTGTGTATGAGTATGTGTGGTAAGAGAGAATTGAATTGAATTAGACTTCATTGACTTTCGAGGTCAATGGCCCATACGTCATAAAAAGTTACAAGTTGATATGCAAAATACTGATCTCTCTGTGTTGTGCTAAACAACAAATTACATTATAACCTACAACACAGAAAACATATAGATCTATAAAACATTTACATCTAGAATCTAGTTCTACACCTAATGGAATGGACCCTCACACAACAAAGTGCAGAGTACAAAGCATTGGTCCTAGTCAAGGATGCATGCTGCAGGGAGTAAACAAAGCTTACAGGCTGGACTATCTGGTCTCTCTAGTTTAGCTCTAATCTAGACTCTAGATTAAAAAATCAATTATACATTGTCTTTCCATTTTTCGTCCTTTGGATTTTCCTCTGGAATTAGAACGGCCGATCGCTGAACAAAACTGGCCAGAAATGCAGACAGCATAGAGCGTTGCGAGTCTCTCGCCGTGTTTGTTTACATACTGTCGCACGCTCGCCGCTAGTGGCGCTAGGAGTCGACGTGCCTCACAAAATTGGGCCACTGCAACATCTTATCGTAGGATTTACTATCTTTGAACACATGTCACCATGTGTCACTTTTCCCACAAAACTACGACAGCTACAGAGTTGAACGTTGGAAAGTAACTGCAAAAAGATAGATAGGTCCCCACGACGGAGCCCGATTTTTTATTTATTCATTTCCTGAATTTAGGAAAATATGTTTGACAAAAAGTCCCAGTCCTTCTTTGGCCTTTGTGATTATTCCACTGAGAAACGAAACAAATCTGCGTAGCTGTCTTTCACAGCGGAAGTGCCGGAAGTGATATTTCGCGAGGCGCATTTTGTTTTGAGAGTATAGATCTAGACTTTCTAATTTTTTACATCTCTCAAGATTTATTGCTCCATTCCAGTAGAGTGTAAATATAGTAGGCGAATGAGTTTCAGTTGATGTTAATGCTACGATCATTCCCTGCTAGTTTTTAGATATTTTATTTGTGATGCGTGCTGATGAAATGGATTACTTCTTGCAATCCACAAATGGAGATATTGGCAAAAAATCGACTTGCAGTTAAATTTGTAGGTTTTCAAGTGATACCAATTTCTTCAAGTTGAACATGTCTTTTTATCTTTTCATACATATAGTTTGTACCAACTCGGGCCTATCTTTTTAATTGCATTCCTCTCCTTGCCGCTTAATTTCAGTAGTTTAAGTTTTAATAATAATGAAGATCATTTCTATAGCGCCCACTTCCGTGTAAACACAGCTCTAGGCGCTTTACATAAATGCATGTAAGAAAAATATTCATGCACGCGACACACACACACACTCACACACACACACACTCATATACACACAAACACACACACATATACATATACACACACACAAACACACGCAAACACACTCACGAATACATAACACGCACACATGTATGCCAAACACACACAAACACACACTCACACACACACACACACACACACACACACACACACACACGTACACACACACACACACACACACACATCTACTTGCTTATCACACGCACACGATTATTGAAAATACATAAATCCTCTTGAAAACAAAGAAAATTGTCACATTCATACAGAGTAAGTTTCACTGCTGCCTGCTAGGCGCTGATCACAACTCACTTTTTGGAAGGAATTAATTTTGAAGTTTTGTTACTCTTTTGTAACGCCTCTAATCTTCAGCACTTATATGACCTAATTGTGTTTCAAGTGCCACAAAACTCTTATTATAAAAAAAAAACCCAAACCCATCTCCTGCTGGTTCTCTTCCTCAGCTGGTTTGCTGCGGCATCAACAACTATACCAACTGGTTCAAATCCCCGTGGGCAGAGAAACAGTCGTCCCCGTACTCCGTCCCGGTTTCCTGTTGCCGTGTAGAGGAGAGCGCATGTCGCCACACTGGCCTGTCTGGAGGCAACAGCACCACGAGGGATATCCATACACAGGTAAGGACGGACGAACCTATTCTTAGAAATTCTAACAGCTACCTGTCTCTTGAGAAATTTTGTTCTATTGGCTAAGTGTTTTAATGTCTTGTTGACCATTTCGTTGTTCGGTCTCTCCTCAGGGCTGCCACAAATTGGTCGTGGACTTCATCAACGGGAACATGGGACCTATCGGCGGGGTGGCTCTTGGTATTTCCTTTTTCCAGGTTGGTCTAACGGATTCTTCTGTAGCTTTTAGTTACAGTGTGTGTTGTAATAAAAAGTAAAGTTGTTCGTGCATCCGATCCGGGCATTGGGGATTGACTTGTTAATGAGACAGCTTCCTGGGCCTACGGCATATTGTGGTAGGGTGGCCAGTTCCTTTCCACGTCGCCTTTACTTTCCCAACTCGGAAGTAAGGTATCCGTTACTGCTGGGTGGGCAGGAGGGGGCGAAAAATAATGTTGTAATATATTTTTTAAAAATATCTTTTTTGAAATATAGTTTTTGTTTATAATTATGCCCCCATCGACACAATGTAGATAATTTAGAAGACGGGTTGCCTGGCAGTGCTGACCCGTGCGTAGGGGATACGATGTCCCTGCAGGTTGACTGACGGAAATACGTGATAAGAATTCCCCACACTCAGGGAAACACAAGCCACAAGCCTAGGAGTTCTGCATGTGACGGTGAAACAAGTATTTGCTACACCAGAGATGCTGGTTGAAGATTATATGAATAAATGTGTTAAATTCATAATTTTATAATGCAGTTTGTTCAAAATCTGAGAATAGATGTATGTTTTCATAAGTAGGATATGTATGTGTCAGTATTATGTTCAGAGGTTAGAATTTATTATGCAGTCGAATCTGTTGAAGGTTTTGTTTTGTTAAAAGTTCAGTGTGTTGTGTTTATATTCACTTATTGATTGTGTGTTATAATTTACTATAAATGTATTGAATTCACAGGTTGTCTTCTGATTTCACAATATCCATAAGTGAAATGTCTTCTGTTACATTCTTGAGTAAACTGTATGTGTACAGTCGTTTTGTTTTTTTGTTTGGCTTGAGCACTTACTCAACCCAAGCTGAGGTACCAATAGCAATACACATATACATTCCTTTCCTTGTCTATTGTTATGGTTTTTGTTTAAATTTTCCGTGGGTGTTTGGCGGGTGCTCTAGTGTGGTTTGCTCCTTCTTTCCTATCAAACGTCTATTGTCTTTATCTCCCCTCCTTCTTTTTTGTGTTTGTTACTCTCTTGTTACACCTATAATCTCCGGTACTTATATGATCTTATTATGTTGCAAGTGCTGTAAAACTCTTACTAAGACTAAACTTAAATTTTCCTTTCCTTGTCTGTCGTTCAGGTTCTTGTAAAACTTTCCTTTTCTCATGAGTTGTTCAGGTTCTTGTACAGACTTTTCTTTCCTTGTCCTTCGATCAGGTTCTTGCAAAAGCTTTCTTTGCCTTGTCAGTCATTCAGGTGTTTGTTAATACTTTCTATTGTTGGTTTGTTGGCAGATGCTCTGATGTGGTCTACTCTTTCTTTCCTATTAAACGTGTATTTTCTTTATCTCTGCTCCTTTTTTGTGTTGATTGCTCTCTTTCTATAACACCTCTAATCTTCGAGACTTATACAACCTCATCATGTTGCAAGTGCCATAAAATACCTGCTAAAACAAAAACAAGTTTTCTTTTCCTTGTCTGTTGTTCAGGTTCTCGGAGCAATACTGGCTTTCTGCCTGGCCAAGTCCATCAGCCGGGCTAAGTACGAGCAGGTGGCTTAGGCTCACCGCTGCTGGAGGTGTGTTGAGAATCTCATCTATGTGTCGGGTAGCAGCAGCAGAGGATGCTTTATACGACAAAATCTGACACAAGAACTCCTTCATAGGGGACTCTGGCAACGTCTCGACACCGACTTAACATCAGCCAACTTCCTCTTTCAGTATTTCGTCGGCGAGCTGTTCGGATGTATTAACTAGTCCCAAAATTTTCAAAAGAATGTTTTACTGTTTCGTAACCCGTAGTATTGATTGCAAGTGCTTGAAAAATATTTTCTGGGAATTCAAATATTTAAAAGGGAAAATAGAAGCGAGAAAAACCTCATAACATAGATACAAATTTTTTAACGAATGAAACTGGGTCGGTTTTTTTTTCTCTCTCTCATGACAAATTTTGCTTTACAGTCTTAAGACATTTGAACAACTTGATGAGGAATTATGTTCTCCTTTCATCCCTCCTAGATGGCAGTATTAGTTTTTCCTTTCCTTTGATGACTTTTTTTTCCATGTTTGATTTCTACTGATGAGTGGATCCAGGCTGCCCTTCCCAATCATTTTTTGCTTTGTCAAGGTTTTATTTTTTGTTTTCCTGGGTTTTATCTTCGTACTTCAGAAAAAAAACCCACAACAGATGTTCCGTTTTAACTGGTTACATTTTCTTCCAGTTTTTGTTTTTCTATTTTCCAATCAGGAAATGGGTTTTGAAAAACATTTGGCTTCCTTTTAGCCACTTTTGTCACCTGCTACATTACAAGGAATATAGAGTCAGAAGTGAAGTGTTCAAGATGTGTGGTTCGAGCACACATCTCTGGCTCGTTGGGCATCATAATAAGATGCAAACATTGCCTCGTGTTATTGGAAAGATTTTGGTATCTACACAAATCTCTTCCTTGACTTTTGAAAATAATGACTTTTTTTTGTGTTTGAATTATGGGTAAAGGGTGAAGATTTGTGCATTTTGGTAATTTATGGTTTATGTAGGCATTAGCTTGAGCTTACTTGATTACTTGATCCTGGGAACAACATAATAGCATTCCGGGCATTGCCATATGTGCTCCGCTCCCCACTCCAATATCCACTATAGTGTGAGCAGATGAATGAAACAAGGTGAAAGATAACATTTTCAGGAAGACAAGGTTCTGTGAAAATTACGCCGTGAGATGTATTTTGTTGGTGTTTTTTTATTAGAGTTGGATACCTAGAAGGGTGCGCCTTGAAAGCAGAAAATGTTTAATGATAGATTAAAACATAGTCTCACAATGACTGATCGGACATGTATTGGTATTGTAAGTTCCTGCTTTTTTTTTTTTTTTTTAGATTTATCCCCCAAACTGTATTACTCCACACTGAAAGCTTGGTTTTAAAGCCGGGTGACTTTGTTCTCTTTTGGAATTGTATCTTGTGATTTTGTCTTAGTGGGACCACACTTTATATTGGGGTCAGTGCTTGTTTATACCCTTGAGGTGTGTTGTGGGATGTCGTTTCGTTGATTGAGTGTTTTTTCTCGCTTTTTTGGATTGTGTTGAGCATTCCCGATTGATAATGCAATATGTCTTGGCTTATTTTTGAGGCTCTTTGTTTTATGATGCCTTTAGTGCAATCACTTCTCGAAAACTACTTAACTTTGTCAACCTTTTACCTGACAGGAATTGAAAATTATAAATTGGTGTTTTTCCATATATAGAGCAAAGACTCATTATATGTATGATGAACTTATATGTTGTTGTATATCTAGTCGTTGAGTACTTGATCTTAAGGCCGCTGAGTAGAAAGTATAATGTTACAAAGATTTATTCCAGAGATTAAATGCAACTGTATTTTTACCTTGTTGGAGATCTATATTGTGACAAAAAGTTCCTAATTCTCTCAACTTCTTCAGCTGATTTACTTAACACTTACTGCCAGTTTTTCATCAGTCGGCCAGGAATCAAGTTCCATCTTGCTCTGGTTATATTTTTATATCGATGGTTAGTCACAAACCGTTTTAGTCTGAAAATTAGGTCAAGTTTTGTTGTTTTTTTTCTGAAAAAGATTGCTTCCAACTTGGAAAACCTTTTTGCAACATGTCTGAATCTAGTGTAAGCTTATGGAGTGAACATGAAGAAAAAAAATGTTTGTATTATGATTATTGACTCGCTTGACACTCGAATACTGCAATCTTGGAAATAACTATTTTCAGACTGATACGGTTTGCGACTGTTTTCACCGATGTGAGTTTTTTTTCGTCTCAAATTTCCATGGTGCATATAATATTTTATAAATGGTCCTGGTTATTGACTTTGCTTTTATTCCGTGCTATATTTTATATAATTCAAAATATTACTTAAAAACTTAAAGCCTGAAAGAGTTGTTTATATTGACTCCCTTAGTGCTCTTTGTTTAACTCTTTATTTTTTTGGTACCAAAACTGTTAGGTTTTTCAGTACTTATAAGTCTACTTAGTCTGACCCTATGTTGGGTCTCTGACAGTTTATATCTCTACATTAAAACAAAATCACAGATGACCGGTTGATCTGTCTCAGATACTTAACTTTTTATTTCAAATTTATCGTTGTTGTTCAAACTTTCTGGGATTTATTCACTTTTCCAAGATGTTTTGACTTGGGTATTCCACAGTGATTTGTCTTTTTTTTAGCACAACGTGTAAGCACAGGGTTATTGTCTGCTTAAATATTTTGCTTATTGCATTGTTCTGTGACTGTGAATCACATATATTCCTTATCTTTTCCACAAGTGTTTATCGCAAATATCCAGAGGTAGGAGATAAAATTATTGAAACTGTTCTGTGACTGGAGTCTTATGAAGATCCCCATCAACATGACCTTGTTCTGTTCTTTAGCCTCCTTTCTTGTAAAACATCTGTCGTCCTTAACTCCTCTCCCACTTCTTTTTTGTCTTTGTTACTTTTTTATAAAACCTCTAATTTTCCGACTGTAGAGTGTTGCAAATGTCGTAAAACTCTTACTCTTACTAAAACTACAAAAAATACTCTCTGGTCTCCAACTATCTTAGTGTTGGTTTGGAGAGTCGAGTGACAAATCAGTATTATGCTGTGATTAGTTCAACATCTCTAGTCCTTATTTCTCCTTCCTTTTCAATTTATTCCTTTTAACACATCTAATCTTTGATACTTATATGACCTCTTCTATTTGTGTTGCAAGTGCAGTAAAACTCTTACTAAAAGCTTAAGTTAAGTCTACAGCTTTCCATTCCTTCTGCTAATTTTTTTTGTCTCCAAGCCCTAACTTAATTCCAAATGACCTTTATTTTGTCAACAAGTTTCTCTTCAAATCAAAACGACCAATTGGTAAAACATATTTTTAAAAAAATGTATTTTGGTTGTCGGTCTTAAACGTCACTCTCTGAAGCCATGTGTGTCGTATGAGCACAACCGTTTCTGTTGGCTACTTCCAGTCAGTCTGTAAATAAACTTCTGAATCTTACACTGTGATTTATTTTTTTTCTGTGACTTAAGCTGGATGTGATTCTACTATTTCTGTGGTATGCATTGCCGTGATAAAAGAATTATAGCTTGAATGTTTTCAAAATGAGAAAGCTTAAACTTAAATATAACTAGTTGCAATTATAGAAGAGGAAAAAGAACAGATAGACCAGCATTTGCTGTTACCATAAAATGAAGTAGTGCGGGTAACAAACAAACGGGATGGTGAGTCGTGTAATTTTGTTAATGGGAAGCTCTGTTAGTGGAGGTGTTTTCATAATATGTTGATGAAAATACTTGCAGCTTAACTCGTAATTTACGGAAGGCTATTTTTTCCTTTGTACGTAAACAGTTTTGTAATTCAAGTTTTCGCCATCGCAAACTTTTGTGAAACTCGGCTTTTGTTTAATCTGTTTACATAAAATAAGCTCCAAACTGAGTAGAAATCCAAGCAATAACCTACAGTTTGATAACTTGATAAGAGGTAATAAGGATTGGCTGGGCTTTGGTAGATTTTTCTTACGACTAAACAACACAGTGATGCTGTGAACAGGCTGAACTAATACTTGGTTAAAACTCCTGTCCATTGCTTCCCAACAAGCCTTGTTTTCTCTTTAAGCCCGTGGTAAAGTGTGCTCCTCATGATGCGCTTTGCGGCCTCAAGTTTGTCAACTGGCATTGTTTTTGAAGCAGATTAGGCTTAAATAGATGGAATATCAATATGTGGGACATCGTGGTGAAATCGGGCCCTCCTCAAAGTAATGAAATCGAAAACACTGACATTTTTTCCGCTCACTGGATAATATTTATCAATTTTTCTTATTTTGGTAAACACCTTTTATGAACTGTAGAAAAAGCAGATTTCGCTGTGGATTTTACTGGAAAACAATATGATTCAAAGGTACCAAAAATGTAAATTTCCAGTTTCCAAAGACACTCAAGTTTTGGAAGTTACCAAACTTTGGTGGCCTTTTTCTCACTAATTTTTACCTCTGAAACCAGACGACGCCCACCTCCTGCAATCGCAAATATCTCAACTTCTATTCAGGATAGATGGGTATTTTTTTTTTCATCAAAAGAAAGACAAGTTTACAATCTTTTAGATGATACTAATACCTCCATATGCCCAAAATTGGACAAGTGCTTGATTTCACCATGTCATGATACATATTGCCATAACATAATCCCAACTTTGAAAAATCAGAGTTCCTACATCTTTTCTTTCTAAGTCTTTTTTAAAATTCAGAACATTTTCTTATCGTTTTCATGAAGTGGTTTTTTGTAACTGTCAGAGAAAAATTGTTTCTTCTTCTTGTCCTTCTAAATCTACAGCAAGTTTTAAAGGTTGTGAATTTTTGCTTTTTGAAAATGTTGCTTTGCTTTTTTCGTCCCCTGTCGGTAAAGACGAATTGATTTGATGCGACCAATTTTCTGCATATTTTTCTCCCAGTATTTATACGTATAACTTCTAGTTGCTTCTTTACTCCTACAGTTTTGTCAGCTCATATTTGTGCGGATGGAGTCACAAAAACACCTACATTTAAAAAAGAAGAGAGTTTTTCAGCTTTTATGAAATCTTCAGTTCTGCATGCTGTTGTAAACTTTTGCATTCGTTTTATTTTTTCTGGCAAACTTCTGAAACAACCCAAAATATTCTCTGCTCTCGTTGAAGGAGATGGCAAGCAAGGGGCTATGGGGAAATTGTGTTGTTATCTAGAAGTACAGGTACTTGTTCACTTTTCACTGTGATTTGATTGTTCACTTTTCACTGTGATTTGATAACGTACAGGGTATCTTTAATGTTAGTGTTGACCGGGTTCAACTTGTTGATGAAGCTGTCCTAGTTTCAGAGACATTTTATCTTTCTTTTTAGAATTTGTATTCTGAATGCACGGTTGTCTTGAAATAATGTTGAAATGATCTAAGTTAATTATTAAAACTCAAAATTCTGAAATGGTTTAATAAGGTTGGGTTTCACTTTGTTTGTTAGTCATTCACAGATAGATATTCCTTGATGCCTCATTACAGTTTCTCTTACTTGCTCAAGTGGCGCTGGAAGCCTAAAGGTTAGGCTACCGGACTCTTTATCATGAGACTAATTCGGGGGTTTAAGACTTGGTTCAACACAACATTATGTCCTTGAGAAAGGCCTTTGTACAGGAATTTTGCCATTTTGCTCTGTCCTTTCGGAGTTGGACATTAAAGGAGTTGGACATTAAAGGAGTTGGACATTAAAGGAGTTGGACATTTAAGGAGTTGGACATTAAAGGAGTTGGACATTAAAGGAGTTGGACATTAAAGGAGTTGGACATTAAATTCGGAAGTCCTGCCGCTTACATTACCGCACTATGCTGCAGGGGCCGTTAAACGTATTCAATTTTTGCAATTTTCTCACATGCTTTGCTTCCACCCTTTTCCTCACATTCCATTCACTTTTGCTGTGTACACATTTTGTCATGTGAAATTAGAAGGATTCTATCTGTGGTTTGTGTATGTTTTGAGGTTTGGTTTGTTTCTGCTCATATGACCTAATGCAGTTGCGAGCGCCGTAAAGCCTCTACTAAAACTAAACTTTGTGGCTGGCTCTGTCTCAATGCTCTACTTAGTGATCTAAGTTTCATTTTGAAAGGACTGTTCTGCTCTATGAATGATCACATGAAAAAGGCAGGGCCTACTATCAGATTGTGCATTTCAGATTCTCAAACTTCATTGTCTAATGTGTCAAAAGTACCTAAAATATTAACTGTCTTTTTGATTTGCAAATGCAGTTTTGTAAATTTTCAGCTATTTCAGCATAGTCCTAGTGCAGTGTCATCTCTGTGCGGAGAGAATTCATGTAATCTCATTCGACAATTTGTCACATCCACACAGTTTCTTGCTTTCTGGCCCGAAACGGCCAGGTGTTGTGACTGGGGACCCTCTGTTGTTCTTTTGCACTGTCTGTCATTTGCTCACACTCTGTGATGTTTTTACCTGCTGCTGTTCTCAGCTGGGACTTTCAGAAGCCGCGACGCTGGAATGCAAAAGAAACCAATGCTGAAGGCCAGTAATTCGGCGGTTTTAGTTTTTCAAGGGCGAATTTATATAACGGTTCGATGATTTTACTACTTTGTTATTTTTTATGTTGCCTGAACATTTGAACAAATTCAAAACAGTTTTAGTGTTTTAATAATACTGTTATTTTATTATTATTAATATTATTATTATTATTATATTATTATTGTCATTTTATATAATTAATAACTATATTATTATAGTTATTGTCATTGTTATTGATATTATGATTATTGCTACTCTTCTTGTAACTATTATTATTATGTGTATTATTATTGTTACTCAAAGTCATTCTTTTCCTTAGTCTTTTATTAGTATTATTATCATGAAAGTTATTATTACAATTATTTTGAGGTTTACCACCATTATTGTTACGTATGAATATTGTGATTGTTTGGTTGTTAAAAATTATAGCCGTTGTTCAAGAAAAGTGTGACAATTTTTTCAATGAGCGATTTTAAAACCACCGTTTTGCCAATCAAAAATAACAATACTCTTATATCTTTTTTTTTCCAATGTTGGCTGAAGAAATCAAACTGGAAAACTGTATACATGCTTTCCTCTGTTGATGTCATGTTTTGAGAATCTCATTGGCTGTTCAAATTGACAAAATGTCTATAGTATTGCAACCTTTTTGATATATTATTCGGGGACCTCAATTTTTGGGGAGAAAAAAAAAATTATTTAATGTTATCTGTTTGTTGCGCACCGTTAGCCCAGTTGCTGATGTTCTGCCAGGAAATGAAACTGATTGTTCGGGTTCAGACCCCTTTTTTGATTCATTTAGAGAGTTTTCAAGGCTCTCTGCCCTCGTGGCTTGGTCCTATCAAATATGAAAATAGGACACTCCCAGCCAACCTGGGTGATATCGCCCACTCGTAGGTGGTTTGGTAATTTTGGTGATCGATGGGGATCACCTAGTTAGTGACTGACATTATTTTGTACCCTGCTTGGGAATACATGTAGTTGGTGAGCGGTATGTAAATTTTAGCTTCTTGAATGTGGCAGAAGTGGACGGTGGCTCGAAAAAGGTTGACAAACACTGAAATGGACATTGAGTCAAATGTCCTGCCTCTTGATTTCCCAATTTGGCTCTGTCCTATCAGAGATGGACACATTAAATCTGGAAGTCCTGCCCAGTATTGAATATAAATAACCTTACAGTGTTGCAAGGGGAGTTAAAAAATCAAAGCAATTGTGTAATTTCCTTGTGTGATTTCCTTCTCACAGATGCATGAGCTGTGGTTTGTTCTAGTCATTTGGAACTTTTCTTTGTCTTGGTTTCCCTCGTCCTACCACTACCAGTTTGTGATTCCCCACTTATTATGCTGTTACCCTCTTAGTTGTCTTTTATTCAATCATGTGAACCTACTTTGATTATTTTTTTCATGTAATGTGCAATAGAACTCCTTATTTTGAAAAGCATTGTTTCTTTGTTGTTTTTGTGATTTCAAGAGAAAAAAAAATGTCAGTGGGTGGTTGGCGGGTGCCTTGGTGTGGTTTGCTCCTTCTTTTCTATCAAACGTCTATGGTCTTTAACTCCCCTCCTCCTTTTTTTGTGTTTGTTACTCTCTTGTAACACCTCTAATCTTCGGCACTTACATTACCTATTGTGTTGCAAGTGCTGTAAAACTGTTACTAAAACTAAAATGTCACTGT